AAATTATTAAAAATTTGAAATCTAAATTTGATTAATTTTTAAAAGAAAACATATTTTTATGAACGCTGAAAAAACACTAAATTCTCTTCTTTTGTCTTTATCCTCTTAAGGTATAGTATTGAAACATTGTTATTAATAAAAAAAAAAAATGTACACCAAATAATCCCAAGACGTGCACACATACTTTTTTACTGAAATAACTGAGACGAATTCGACATACAATTTTTCACACGAAATAAATCAATGAACAAAAAGGGCAGGGTGAATAACAAGTTTTTGCTTCTGCCTCTCTAATGCTTTCATCACTTAAACAAAAAATGCAAACTACGCTCAAACGAACCGCACTCGCATAATATACAAACATGTACATGTACAATTTCGCCAGCTTTTGTGTGCTTATATTAATACGAGGAGATTCCTTTGTTCTCGCTGCATATATTTTCCCCGAAAATATGCGTAAATCATGTCGCTTCCTGCCGACAAAGTATTATGTATACTGCGCAGCAAAAAGCCGCCGCCTGACCGGTGGATAGATAGGCAACCGGCGAAGCACGGCGCAGTCTGTTGTGTCTGTGTGTGTTACTTCCTTGCAGAGGACGGCGGCGGCCTTCGGATATATTCAAATGCATCCAGCGTGGTGTGACTCGATTATTCCTTTTTATCACAATGCCGCATGCATAATTAATGGTCGCCTAGCTGCGTAGTTGTTTTGATCAAGTGCGCCGCTGGACACGGGCGCGTGCTAATGTGCACCGACAGCTGCGATGTCAGTGTTTAAGATGCTTAATTGCGCACTATGTGCAAACTTTGTTATGATGACGGTGCTCCACACGACACCAGACCATCATCAAACCAAGATTGTGCAATGTTAATGAGGGGGTAACATTTTCTTCAACAACTAATACAGGCCATAAGGAAAATTTACATTCCAAAGAGATTAAATTGTTGATGCAATATTTGGGTGTACTTATTGCGAGATAGCTTCATTGAATTCAAATGAAGCAGATATCAATGGAAAAATATTTCAAGGGAAAATGGAGTGTTTAACATAAAAAGCTCAACACTCAATACTAGTCTGAAAATGGGTTATTTTTCTTTATGAAATATTTAATAATATAAACAGTCTAGAAAACGATTAATTTGTTGAAAAAAATAATAGGCCCTAATTTACTTTATTTTATTTAAATTAAATTTACGAACTGCAAAACAATTTAAATCTTGAATCTGGTTGCTTGTTCATAAAAATAAAGGAAAAGTAGAAAAATTATACGTAGAACCAGATAAATCATCAATTGAGGAATAAATAGAACGGTGTAAAGTTTCCTACGCCATTATATCAACAGGACTGGATGCAGTTTTGTTGCCCTTTTGTTCATTTTTTGTTGCCCAAACTGACCGAGTGAAGCTCAAATTTCAATGCCAAGCACTATAGCAAGGAATCAATCGTCCTTCAAAAAGCGTATTTGATTTCCCGCACTCAATTGTCAGCAGCAGTCCGTGCGTCTGCTGCTCACGAGAGCATTTTACATTGTCTAGCCGACGAGTAATTGCTCCTCTGCTGCGATAAAAAGCGTCGTATGTGTGATGTACCCTCCGTATGTACATTTGTATAATCATGGAGAGCGCACCCATCATAGTGTGTTTAACATTTTAATTGCGTTGCCTGCTGGCAGCGGAAATTTTACTGCGACGTATCCAGTTTTGTTTCAATAAACATCGCAAATTTAAACGTGTGGAACGCAAAACAGTGCAAAAAACTGGTTTTGCGCGTCAACTTTATGAGGCTGCATTAAACTTGTGCTATATCAGCTGGCGTTTTTGCCCGAGGCGTATTTTTTGCTATCATTGACAATACTTGATGATCAACTCGCGAGTGTCTATTATCAGCGAGTTCGTTTCACAATCGAGCGGCTCACAGTTGACAACAAGCGGCGGGCAGCAGTTTTTATTTTACTTTTGTTTGTTTTTACCTAAACAAACTTCCAAGGTCTTTTTCATACAGATCGGTTTATTGATGTTATGAATAATTTTACGTTATACATTGAAACAAAAATATCAACATACAAAAAGTGTACATATTTTTACTCATTTGTTTTTTATTTGTTCACTGTTGCAATTTAGATAACATTAAAACTGTATATAATAATCTCCCTTAAAATTTACACAATTGAATAGGGGGTGAAAATTATTCCAGTCTAGAATTCTGGAAAGTATCTAAAGTTTTACAAACCAGTTAATATTTAAATTCCACAATTAATTAATCTGAATATAGCAATCATCTCAGGTCACAAAATAATGCTCATTTATCATGGTCATTGTTGACACACAACCAATTTTCACAAGTTTAGTAAATAGAGTTAACAGAATAAATAGAAAAAATTTGGAAAATAAATCGGACAATAAAAGTTTATAAGTGAACCGTCGCAAGAGAGAAATCCAAGGCACAGCACACGTGTATGTGAGACAAAAATCAGCTGCCTTGAACTTTAACCTTCGTTACTCATTGTTAGCTATGGCTTTTTGCGTCGGAACAAAAAGTCCGGCGCTGCACCACCGAACGATCCGCTGAAAATAAACAGAAATATAGTGCTTGTACATACTCAGTTTCACGTTTCGTGTGTGTGATACACCTCTCTGACTTTGGGCTATTTACAATGGCACGGCATTCATTTTCTTTCTCCCAATTAAACTGTAAATGCACGAAGCACGCGACGGTGCTTTACAGCAAGAGAGAAACCATACTGTGTGTGTACATTCTGCTGTACACAGCACGTAAATTTTTGTCCGCCGCCGCGAGAGCAATCTGGCCGATCTCACTCGCGGGATTAACTTTTCCGGCCGCGCAGCTTTTAATGCGCGTCTAATCGCTAACGTCGTCTGGCCGTTGAACTTCAAAATTTTGGCATGCGTGCTGTCCGAGCCGAAAAGTGGCGAGACTGAATTTCTGCCAAGGTAGTTCGGCGAGCAAATGGCGCACTTAGGAATTATTATTATACGCCCTATTATTGCAGCCATTGTCCGAATTCACCAACAAAAATTTATACAACGCACGTTTTAATGGTGTTTGGCTTATTTCTGCTATTCCTCTCGCTTTTATTACCCAGACGCGAAAATGTCAAATTTCGTCAGTTTGGCGAAACTTACTTTTCCCGCTCTGCAATTATGCAGAGTTTAATGACCTCTTCTAGTGCAGCCGTAAAAGTGACGAGACGCCACATATTGCGAAATTGCGTCTTCTCTGCAATACAAATATTCTTTTTTCTCTCATTCAGAATTTCCCGTTGCACACTTTTTAGACTGGTATGCGAGTTTAATAAAATGCGACGATGAGTTTTCTGGGAAGCTTTTTCAGAACTCGACTCGCAAGCACCAGATGCTGCGAACGAGCTAGTGTAATGCATATCTGGTGTGAATAATGCAACTGTCTGCGATGAAACGTACGTGTGCTGCAAATGTGCAACCTACTTGGAATTTATAGTGCTCGTTAAATATGGAGCACTCGTGACACTGTTTGGTGACAGGATTAGGGTTAATATTTAGCAAGTTTATATCTCGAGTGCAATAAATATGAAACAAAAGCAAGCACAAACTGTTTAATCGCCAATTGATTAATTGATCATAAAAAATCATCATTTTGAAAAGTATAATTTTTACTTCAGCCACCTTTACAATTATGCTGTTGAACAAAAGAAATTAACGATGCTTAGTTTTGCGTTATTTAAAAATTTGTTTGATTTTTTTTACAGAATAAAATATAATAATATGTAATGGTGAATTTAAATTTGACTCTTCCTCGAAGGGTTTTTAAGTCGTTTATCCTGTTTAAATAATTATATTAAATTTCCTTGTTGTTTTTGGCAGCGAGAAAAGTAAAGCATATTACATTATGGTACAACGTCCTATTTCGCAAAAATAACTGGAGGAAAGTTGTTATAAACGTCACTTGTGCGCGTGGCATAGCAACAGGACGGACGGGCCGTCAACTCTGGAAATGAGTTAAGTTGCCGTCACTTGCAGAGCGCACCTTTCTTTCTTTCCTTCTTCCCGCATTGCATCGGCGCTTACAGAAGCGAAGAAGCAGAATGCAAAATCATCGACTGGGGACGGAAAGTAAAAGTCTAAACTGGGGCGTCGTCTTGTTAGGCTTTGCTGCAGTCAATCTCGTCCTGGAATCGTCCCCGTTTGCAAAATAATTACATCTCCGTCGCTCTGTGCAGCTCCAGCTCATGATCGAGGGGTGGCTTTTCACTCTCAGGTCGTTGCAGCTCGGCCCAGAATGTCCTCATTACATGAGCGCGCTATTGCAGCCGCTGTGTGTTTGTTTGGCTTTAGAATAAGTAGGTTGCAACACGAGCAAGCAGCGAGCGGTGCTCTTTCGTTCGCCGTTCACTCGCGCACAGATATCGAGTGTAATTTTTCATTTGGCCTAGGTTAATGCGATTCTTCGCAAGCAGGCCGGAATATCCTTTTACCAGAGCTAATTTTCTTCCTTGCTGCAAGTAATGGGACCCAGAATTTGAAACTGACGTAACGAGGCTCGCCTCGATAATCATTACGCTCGTTGAGAAGAAAGACGGATCGCTCGTCGTGTGCCGAGAAGCAGAGACAGGCGGTTAGTTTTCCTTTTTCGCGACCGCTGAGATTGCAGAATTTTCCGCGGTTGAGTTTCTCACTGCTGTATAAAGAAAAAGAAAATTACTTAGAATTAATTAAAATTATGCTACATTCATATTACTCATTAAATTATCATTAATAAAATTAAATAAATTCAATTTTTTTATAATTTTAATATCATTTAATAATGCTTTCAATAATTAGTTTATATTTTGTATCAAAAAATTTTGCATTTGAATAATTCACAATTTATTTTAATACTTTCAATATTTAAACTTAATTTTATTCTGCAATAAGCGCATAAGATAATTAGTTCTTAAAAGGATATCACACCACCTGTCAATTATGTCTCTGGCCATAAAGTAATATAGATTTTTATACTGATTTCTAGTCTTGAATAAAGACAAAAATTGAAGTACTTAAAAAAGAATTAAAATATTATCCATAGTTAAATCAAGTTTTTTCAAGCCATATTATAGTCATTTGCATAAGTTATAAATTGAACGAATTTTCTTTCATTCGTCTTGTATCAGCTCTGCAGCCGCTTTAATGTTCATCTTCAGAAGGCGGTTTTCCTCGTGCAGCTATCGCACAAAGTCGGAGACGCCCTTTGTTTCGTCCTCCGGCAGGTCGCCCCTGACGCTGCCTCGGACCGACGACCTGCTTCGGAATCGGACGCTGGTGGCGTTGACCTGCTGCATGTTGAAGACCTTCTTGAGCTCGTCGTAGCGGCGCTGCAGCAGGGCCAAGTCCCTCCTGAGCTCCACCTCGGTCATCGGACAGTCGTGGCAACTCCCTGCAGAGCGGATTTTATATGCGTTGACCTGTTCTTTCGTCGCGGTCAGTTGTCGGTTCAGCGAGTTGAGTTCTTTCGAGTACTGGCCCTGGAGATTTTGCATCTGCAACTGCAGGTTCTGCTGGGAAACGTTGAGCGCTTGGATTTTGTCCTGGAGTATGTTTTTTTCGTGGCGAACGCGACTCGTTTCTTGGTTGGCCCACTCCAAATTCTACAAAAAAGAACTTAATCAATTATAATTCAAATATATAAGCAATATAAATAATTTAAATCGATCACTAAAATTAAAAAAAAGTAAAATTTAAGGTTATATGCAAATAATAGATTCAATAATAATAAATGCTTTCTTCTCCTGAAATTTTACAGTTGGTTTCCTTCAAAATTATAATTAAAACATTGAAATCTGAACTAACGCATTTTTAGTTTCTTTCATTTTTAAATAAAATATAAAATATTTAAATTAATCAAATCCAAAATAAAATTTAGTCTTTAAATTAGATAATTTGAATCCACCGTTTTCAACTGCTCGTTTTCTTTGGCCAGGAGCGCTTTCTCGTCGTTCAGGGTGCAAATCTTATTGGCTGCCATTACCAACCGGTTCCTGGCCTCTCGCAGGTCATTTTTCACCCTGGCGCAGACCTCCTTGTAGCTCTTCAACTCCATCTCGGCGCTAGAAAGGTCACCCTTCAAAAATTCGACCTCTCGCTCGAGTCGCCGGTTTTCCTTCTTGACCTGGGTCACCGCCTCTTCGGTGCAACTCGACCTGGCCCTTTCCACGGCCAGCTTCTGTTGGGCTACGTTTGCCAGGGCGTCAGACTGTTCAACTTTCTGCCGAAAAGCATCCAACTCGCTTTTAAACTCAAGTTGCTGCGTTTGAAATTGAGCAATCGTATCCTGCGCCTCGGACACACCGTCGGCGAGTTGGGCCTTTTCCGTCTTCAGCTGCTGGATTTCGTCTTTCAGTCTGTTGATCTCTTGCGTTTTCACCGCCTCCCAGTTCTTTTGGTAGTGGGGGGTCAAGTCCGGCCTGGAATTTTTAAATTTAGTTCGAAAATGCGGCAGTGGCAAAACTTTTTCACATTTGCAGAGGAAAAGTTCCCATCGGCATTTTATAAATTAATAACGAGGCCGTTAATATAAATTTTGGGGCTGAAAATTAGCAGGGGAGTCGTAAAATTATCGAAGTTTTGAGGCAACATTTATGCGTCGCACCGACTGACCAGCTGAATTGCGCTTCGGAACCCTTATCGAATAACTCGGCCGCGGCGTCCTCGTTCGCCATCAAGCTGCCCTCGAGGGACCCCAGAGACACATTTCCTTCCTCCCTGACGGGTTGATAGCGATAATGGGCCAGCTCGCAGGCGAAATTCTCTTTGCCGTCTCGGAGGACGCAACCCGCCGGCCTTTTTGTCTCTTCGTCCTCGTCGTTGCTGCTCATCTCGCCGTCCGACGATGGCACTGAAATGGTGACCTTGGTGCGGAATAAATAGCCGTCGGTGCCGTCGCTGGACTCGGGGTAGATTCGATTCGTTTCTTCGATTTCGGTCACACCTTTTTGCAGTTGAAAGAAATCCGGGGTTTGATTAGGGCTGGATTTGTCCATGTAGAGAGAAAATTTTAACACGCGATCCAAGTTTGTGTCGTTACGTTTCGAAATCTCATGATTGTGCAACAACAATCGACCAATGCAATAATCTTGATCATTCAAATCACTACCAAAACACGCCAACAATGAAATTTGAAATAAATTGCATTGTTGAAACTTTTGATACGCCATAATTATTTTTTTAATAATTAATTTTTTTGTTACAGGTTGAGTCAGCCTTGCTTGACGCCCTTTAACTGGCTTTAAAATTTGTAGTTGTTAAAAGTAAGTGTACTTAAAATGAATTAATTTTAATTTTTTTTCATTATTTAAGATTATTTAAGATTTTTTTTTCTAATTATTTGTTTTAACTTATTTCTACAAATAGAGAAATACTTACCAATAGATTTTCAATAAATTTTTTTGCACTATAAAATTTATTCCACTAAATATATTATGCTCTGTATAATGTGATAGTGAACAGTATTGACAGGTATTTATTTGAATCATTGATTTAGAAATGATTTTAATATTTTATTATTTGTATGAAAGTCTCCTTTCCTGGCAAATATAAAGTATAAAAATTTTCAGGTCTCCCCAAGCCAGTCGTGGCCGACGGAGTTGGGTAGCCGGGGTGCTGCACCACCCTGGCCTGCTGGTGCTGCTGCAGCCGCCCCCCTCCAGAGCGGCCATCATCCCCTCCGCAGCAGCCTCCGCTGCAGCAGCCGCAGCAACAGACGCAGCAGCCGACCCGCATGATGGTCAAGACCTTCCAGGCGTACTTACCCTCGTGTCACCGCACGTACTCGTGCGTACACTGCCGGGCGCACCTCGCCAACCACGATGAACTCATCTCGAAGGTAGGTCAGACTCGCCAGAGTCCCACTTTGCTGTTGGCGGGGCTGCTCATTGCCGCGCGCCGACACTCGCCCCATTTGTGCACTCGTGCACGTGCACACCCCATTTGGTGCGGAAACGAGCGGTTAAAACACGTTGCCTGAATGGCCTTTTCGCCAATTGTGAATAATGAATTGGGCGCGTGACCAGACAATCAAATTGTAGTGCTCGCTTCTAATAGTCCTCATTGAACTATTTAATCAGATATTTTCTCTCTTATATTTTAGTACTATTATTTGAGACGAAATTTGGAATCTATAGTTTCTAATTTTGTATTCTTTTATTTGAGCACTTAATAATTGAAAATTTTTCATAATTGTGAAACGTCATGAGACATCAAAAGAGTAACAGCCACTTGATAATAGCCTTGCAAATTCTAGTTCTCTTTTTAAATGCATTTTTTTTTTAAGTTTAGTAACGCAAATGAATGAAAAACCTTTCAGATATATTGCTCAAGCAAAAATCTGTTTAACTGGGTACACACTCAAAATCATTTAAATTTTCTCATTATTTATTACCATCATTTTTTACTTACCTCAACATCATCAATAAAAATTCTCTAAGATGTATGGTTTATTTTGAACGCAATAAACAAACTTCTGAAACTAATTATTCTAGATTTTAAAATAAGGATATTTTTATTCAGTTGATAAAGCAGTTGATGAGGACGTCTCTCTGAAAATGTTGTCAATTGTCTTTCAATGTTAGGCGCGCGGATAGGAAAAACACGGAGCAACCCCTTATGGGCCACCTGTTATGTACTTTGGCGCAAATTACATTAAAGCAAGCGCAGATTTGGCCCCTCTGCGCACATATTGCGTGTGGCAGCGTAAATTTGAAAATCTTATCTGCCGCTCACCAGCTCGCGGTAGGGCGTTTGCAAAAATAAGGGCCCGTGCTTATCATTAGGCGCAATTTCTTTGCCCTCCCTACGCGATAATTACCTTTGTTAATGGCCCGCAAACGTATATAGTTGCTGCTGCTGTGTCTCGCCAGTCAAAATAAGTTGACATCGAGGTATTAACTTTCAAAATGTTCCCCGTCACATGATACTGTTTACACAAGTTGCTTCTTTGATGTGTTGCGTGTGGAAAAAGCTGATTTCGCTCCTTCTTAAACCACAGCGGTCAGTGACGCAAATCCAAATGTAATCTGATTTGATTGTGGCTAGAAATCAAAATCGTAGGTGAAATAAATATAGCGTTATTAAAAAATTAAAAAAAAAATACTGCTAAATGGGATGCATAAAAATTAATAATTTGATAAAATACTGCAAAATTATAAATGCCCCCAAAATAAGCAAAATTTGTTATATTTTTTCCTACAGCAAACAAAAAGTACGGTTTTTTCCTGATACATATTATATCTTAAAAAATAATCATTTTTGTGTTCTGCAAAAATCCCAGCAAATGTGTCACGAGACTTTTTACATCTCGTTCTCTTTTCGCTCCGCAGACGACACATGTCACACCAGAACGTCTCCCCGGAGAGAGTTTTTCCGTTGCTTCTTTCTTTGTTGTTCCGCGTTCTTGGCATTCCGGCCTGAAAAGGAGCCACATCGTTCTGGCTGCATGGCATCAAGTCATGCGTCCAGTGACACCTGTATGTGTTTCGGCTGCGTGTACATGGCTCGGTGTCAGTGAACGGGAGTCGAACGGACACCGAGAGAGAGTGGTTGGATGGTTGGTGCTCTCTCTCACAATCAATACCTCGGCTGGCTCTCTCTCTCTCTCTCTCTCTCTCGTCTCTCTCGCTCATTCTCTCTCTTGGCAACACGAGGCACCAATCGCAAAGCGGGTTAAGTCTGCTCTCTCGGTCACGTGACAACAACACGCAGGTTTGTTTTGGACTCGCGGATTAAATGCTCTCATGCGGATGGACGAGCGCTATAATTTCATTTGGAATTGCGCAGGTTCCAAAGTAACTGCGTCGCACTTTGGCTAAATCAGCTCACTCGTTTTATTGGAAAGGAAGCGGCCTATGTGGTCTCGTGAACGGTCGCGGTTTTGCAAAAACCAGAGACGAGATATAGCGTAATCTTATCGTCCTCCCGACGAGGCAGCTGCTGAAAGGCTAAAATCACGTGTCTGCGTGCAGCTTGTTTCTCTCTTGGAGGAAATGACAACAACCGTACACTGTAAAAACTTTGGCTTTCTGCCATTTCACCACACAGCAGTGAATTGCTTCTAATTTCATCTTCTCTTTTGCGCTCATATCGAATTAACTGGAATGTTTTTACTTAGTTGGTTAAGTAAAATTTACTTTTACTTTTATTAGGTTTAACAAAACAGTCGCATTGTCATCGCTTTAATTTTTTTATCCTCGCAAAGTCACTCCAATTTATTTTTTGTCAATTGCGCTTTCCTGCAGAAAATTAATAACAATTTTATAAAATATGTTACAAAGGCAAATATATGTTTTTCAATTTATTAAAATAATTTAATGGTTCTGAAAACGTTTTTTTATTTTTAAATTTATCTACCAATTTTTATTGTTATAGAATAGCTTACTGTATGTTCATTCCTACAAGCCTAAAATCCAAACTCTTTCTTTGTGCATTGTTTTTCTCTGAACCATGACCAGGAACAAAACGAAATTTGTCAAATTATTGACGCGCCATTCATTTCTTTCATATGCCGGTCCTTTGTAAAAAAAAAGCAACGCAGTCGGGCGGAAAAACAATCGCTGCGTACGTCGGCGGCGCTTATTGTTTTCAGTCTGAAAGTTATGGTGGTGCTTAATGAAGAAAAAATTATAACGATAATTGCACCCTGGCCATATACCCGCACAAACACAAACGAAAATAATAATGCAGCCTTGTAGAGAGTCCAAAATTATAGCGCGTGAGCAGCAGATTTATTAATTTGCCGGCAGCAGGCGCACTTGCTCAAGTACATTAGTGTACATGCCGTTCTAATTAAAGCTTGCCAACAATTAGCCTGGCTGCAGTATATAAATCCAAAAGCAGTACGGAGGTTTCGCCAGAGAAATAGAAAACGAGAAGGAGTTATGCTTGGTCTGCTTGGATAAGTAATAAACACACTCGCTTGCGGATGCAAACATAACGTTTCGCACCAAACCGACGGAAATCGCACTCCCTTTATTCATATCGCCTGTGAAGCCTCGTGGGAAAACTCGCGCGACGAGCTTTCTTTCTTTTAGTTTCATTTCCCGGCGCCTGCAGATTTTTCAGGCGCCTTTCAAGCTGAAACTTTTGCGTCGCGTCTGCTGTTGTGAGGATGAATGGATTTTGGGCGTTCTTAAAATATAATTTGTAAATTTGGTTTTTAGATTTAAAAATCACTATTGCCGATTTGAGATTATTGTTCTATCTGTTAAATATGTTTAAATGGTAAAATTTTATTCACCAAAATGTCATTTTTTGCGTGCTATTTTTATTATTTATTATTCCAATTTTACTTTTTTTTAAATTTTCATTGATTTTTGCTATTTTTGTATATTATATAAGTGGCATTATATATTATATAATTATATTAGTGAAATTATATTTTAGTATATCTTTATGTAAAGTAAAGTATATAAATATAGGAATTTGACATTTTGATTCATTAATTTCATGATTCTGTTTGGCCTGACAATTATAAAAAATGTGAAAATTGAGAACGGAGTGATTGAAAATCAATAACATTTCATTATTTTTTTGTTTTTTTCGTTAACTTTTTTACTATTAATTTGCTTTTAATTTTTCATAGCACGTCGTTATTGATATTTCAGAATTTACCACGCATTAAGAGTTGCTAGAACGTTCAACCCCTTGTTTTGCTTGAGGAAACACGTACTGCGGCCAATAATAATACTCGGTATAACGATCGCGCGAGTTGCACCTTCTTAGAAGACACGGCCGAGGCACGTAATCCTCGGCGTAGGACGAGACGATTTAGGTGTCAGTGAACTCAAGTAGGAAGTACCCATTAAATCCTCCCGAGAAGACCCCGCCGTTCGTTTGCTCGCTTCGATGATTGTACGCATTATACGAGTAAAACCGAAATTTCGGCGCAGTTCCACGAAAGCAGCGCATTAACAATTTCACGGCGCCCGCAACCTTCTGTGTGCAGTCAAGGTTGCGATTTTTTTGCGCTTTGTTTGGTCGCCTGGCCGCACGTACGGAGCGAAATTACGCCGGCTTCGTTCGGCACATGGTATCAGTTAGCAACAGCTCGCGCCCAAGTATAAATATATCTGGTGTGAGAGACTGACTCGGGCGGGAGTCGAGCGACCGACAGGCACGTGTGCACGCCGCCACAAACACACCGAGCTGCTCGGCCAATCAATATTTCTGTTTGTCATCTGTATAGTGTATAGAGGCGCGAGCTTCTTTAATTAGGCGACGTGCGCGCCCTTAATGCAGGTCAAGCACTCGCCCCCGATCGCTCCAAGATAAAATAACCCAAGGTGGAAGGAGAGAAGTTCGCCCCGCACGAGTTAATCAAAAGGGTGGTCACGTCCGCCGTCGTGCATGATGTTGGGCGGAAAAAAAGTGGCCTGTGTTGTCTGCGAAGACTTTGGAAAATTGCTTCTTTAAGCCCAGTTTTACTGCCGGCACTTTCAATCTTGCCACGGAGTGCCGAGCTGAAAAATTGATCCGTAATTGAAAATAAAATAGAGCTATGCAGGGGTCTCTGATCGTCGGTGCTCTCACTTTTCTTCTAACCAAAACTAGTAGCTATTTGGTTACAAGTTTGTTGGTGTATCAGTTTACCTTCTTGAGAACATATAAAAATTGTATGCTGTGCTAGAAATAATTATTACTGCTTGATCAAACAATTGCGTAAGAAGCGTAAAGCGTAAAGGCCAATGAAACAATCAAAGCAAGTTGTGAACAATTCTATTAGGTTCTTCTTAAGAAACTGACCAGTGGTAAACCTGTTTGCAGATCTATTAAATATATTTCAATATCTCTTAGAATATATTATTGACTTTTATTGGAAAAGAAATTATATTTATATTCTAAGGTCAAGGACATTGCAATATAATTTCTAACTGTAACTGTTATAATGAAGGATAATTTAAATGATTTTTAATTTTTAATTATTTATGGGTTTATAGTTTTGAAGAAAATTTTAAGCACTGTTAGAATGGAGAAATAATTCTTTTAAATTTTAGTAAATGCTATAAATTGAAAAAAACTTACTTTATTTAACTCTGTTAACAGTGCTCGAAAAAAAGGTTACATTTTACTGTTATTACGAGAGCCAAATAAAGATAGAGGGTAGTTAAGTTTTAAAAAAATGTAATCATTCAGCTTAAAGGAAACAAGGCAGTAGTGACATTTTTGTGTGCGACTATTTTTTTTTAAAGTTTCAAGAATTTATAAGCCATTTTCAAATTTTGTAGCAGGCAAAAAATTGCCAATTTGTATTTTTTTTCAACCAACAGGAAGCATCGAGGCCACGGAACTACGTCGTAACAACCCCGTCGCGCACAATAAAAATTGCAAAATGAGATTTCCTCGAAATATTATCCATTCATACCACAGGAGTCGCAGCGCGCACAAACAGCACGGATCTAATCACTAGGGACGCCGCTCGCGCCCCAAACAGAGCAATCCGGGGAAAATTGCGTTCTCTCTTTCTCTTGCAAATTAATACAAGCTTGCTTTCCCGCTGCTGAGCAAACCACGCGCACACACAATCACAAAAGCAGCAGGCGATTTTCCTGCCGACTGCTTGGAAAAGATGATTGGGGCGGCCTCATTTGGGTTTTCGCAATTACACTACGCAAATATAGGCAACCTGCGCAGCTTTTCCGGCATTTTTGACTCCATGGTAACGGGGCGAATGGCCCGCTCGACCGCGCCGGAATTCTTTTTATTCAATAAAATCGCCGAATAAGCCGCCATCACTTTCCGGCTACACACTCTCTTGCATTGTTTTTGTGCGGCAGTAAATTTCGCGCGCCGTCTTCTTTATACTGCCGTGCTCCCTTTTGCCGTCGCGGCGTGACAGCGGATGATTTTGATTTTACGAGCGCACTTTTATGCGTGTCGCACGCTTTGGACATTCAACTGCCTATTCCGATGGACGGCTTTAATGTATGCGAACGGCGCCGAAAAACAGAAGAGTCGGTCGTGTTGTTGGGATGAGTTGTCAGAAATAGGATAGGCGGATTTCCAAGGCTGCAGCTGTGGAATTGATAGTTGTAGAAAAGCGAGTGCCGCCGGTGCGGATGCAAACGATTCGGCCTTGATTTTTGTGTGCACCGGCTCGGTCGGGTGGCACGAACGCCGCTTTAGAAAGAAAAAGTTTTAAGTTAATTGGCATGAAATTGAAACAATTAAAATTCTGGCAGTACTTTTTTAAACATTACAATTTCATAATTCATAAATTTAATGTTTGCATAATTCAGTGCTTATTTTTGTTGCTGTAAAATTTAAACTTTATAACTCTCAGCAAAATTGTGGAAAGTCTGTTTGCTAATCGTTATTCAAAACTAAGAAATTTGAATTTTATATCAACAAATCAAATTAATGTATAATTTTTTTTTTTGAATAGAGCTTTTTACAGAGAAAATTTACTAAATGATTTTATTTCTTATTTTTGTAGCTGAATTAATTTTGATATTATTTGTGTAGTATGTAGATAATAATTTAGTAATTTTTTAAAATTAAAAATCTTGACTTTTTCTATTGTGAAATAAATATGTGCATATTATGCTTTGCTGATTTACATGAAACCGTTTTGCATTTTATAAATATTCAGACAGTCTCTAACTCAAACCTTCACCTTTAAGGCTACTGGTTTCCTCACCGATTCAGCGTTTTTCTCGTTCGATCGGGATGCAAAGTAGCAATTTGGCAGAAACAAAGGCGCTCACCCTCGGCGGGCTATAAAAGCGAGAATCGGTCGGTCCGTGCGGGGCGACGGGCTGGAAATGCAATTACCTCTCTCTCGTCGCGTCCCAGTTAGGCCACCCGCAGAGCAACAGTGCAAATAGCAGTGTGTTGCAACCCCTGATGCGATTGTTGTCGCAGCTGGGCAGGTCAAAGGGCGGCGTGACTGCCACCGCGGCAATTTGCATTAGCGAGACCGATGAACCAAAAGGAGGCCATGTCGATGCATCTCGCTCCGCACGCGGCGTAATCGCCACGCTGCTCCGGATTCGAAACGAGTGCAATTTGTCGTGAGAGATGCAGTTGTTGTTTGAGAGAGTTGCCCCATAATAAGCTCCGACATAAATTCAACTTCTTACTTAATGCCAGAGTTCAGACTCGCTTGCACACAAGAAGGGTCGCCATAAACGCCGGGAAATTTCGTTTTTCCAAACGTTTCAAAAGAGAAAGCAATTAGAACGTGTATTCCGATCGATGCGCGATAAAACGAAGCCACTCACTGCAACAATGGGAATTAACATTCAATTACGGCGGCTTCTCGGAATTGCCCAACTCAAAACTGTCGCTGTTGATGAGAGGGCGGTTGGAATCGATGCGAATAAATAGCCGTTTTGCAATGGGGACGCGGTAGTGTATTACGGTCAGTCTCATTGCTTCATTTCACTGCGGTGCTTTCAAATGACATATGAGTACAAATAATAGGATTTTCACTTCCTGGAAAGTCTTTTTTATCGAGTTTTTAAATCTTTTCAACGCATTGAAAAATTAAATATTTATTGTGTCAACGATTTAAATCTCAAGTCGATTTTCAACTTGGATTGTTCCTCTCAAAATATTTTTTTTGTCCCAGGAAAAGTGACATTTTTTCATGCTAAATAAATATAGGAGACAATGAAAAGAAATATTTCATTACTCATTACAAATGATTTGATTTTTACCGCAAAAAACTAAAAAAATTATTGATAAAATATTGTACTTAAAAGCAAAAATAAGTTTATATAACATTGAAATACATATCTCAAATATTTTTATAATAATTTAATTTAACTTATTAAATAAATAACATTTATTATGAAATTGGGAGTTTAATAAAAATAAAAATTGATAAAATTTATTTTTTATGCTCGGCTTTTTTCGGATTTAAGGAGAGCTAATATTTTAGTTTCAGTACTTAATATAGATATATTACATTACTTTCTGGATATTTTGCAAAACAAGTTCTTTAATTCTCAATTTCCCTTGTTCCAGTCATTCCAAGGCAGTCAAGGACGCGCATACCTCTTCAATTCAGTGTAAGCATTTCCCCTTTTATTACTGTAGTTAGGGCTGCACCGCCAAATCCCCTTCGCAGCCAGACAGACAGGCTGCCAGCCAGTCGGACGGACGGCTTTTTCCCCATTCAGAATTCATAAAAATCGATTACATTATCCACTCAGGAGGTAGAAAGGAAGACACGTCGCTAATAAATAAAACATCTTTCAGGGTGAACGTCGGTTGCGGTCCTGCTGAAGAGAGAGTTTTGCTGACTGGTCTCCACGCTGTGGCCGATATTTATTGTGAATGCTGCAAAACAACCCTCGGCTGGAAATATGTAAGTAATTTGACCCTTCATAAAAAACCCTCAAATGAACAAAAAATAAATCCCCTCTGCAGCAGCAGAGAGTGACCGCGCGCAAAAAGCGCCGAATCAGCACAAGTGCTCACCCATGTTTTGTCTTTCTTGCAGGAGCATGCATTTGAACTAAGCCAGAAGTACAAGGAGGGAAAATACATAATCGAATTAGCCCACATGATCAAAGAAAATGGCTGGGATTAACGGCACTGCTAAGCTATCGGACGCCTCGAGAAGAAGGAAAATTATCTGCGCGGCGCCGAGCAGCTGACTGCCGTTGAGAAGAAGAAGAAAAGCTGAAATGGGAAGAAAGGAAGGAAGCCAGCCTGCGTCGTGGGGGCTATTTTTGGAAAATTCGGTTGCTACTTGGCGGACGGGTGACAAAGAAGGCATGACCGCCGCCGCTGGAGCAACCCTTCGACATGATAGTGAACTTGGACTGCTGTGTTTTTTTATTTCATCGAGAGTGGGTGGGAGACTGCTTGCTATGCGTTGCCCTGGTAAAACTAAACGGGAAAGAATGATTTTTGGTTCTGACTGAGTACGACTTACTGATGATTTCATTAAACTTAAGTTTCTCCTTCGTCGTAAAATGTATAAATTAAGAAGCGCGCGCGATAAAATGGATCACAGAAAAAAAAACTCATACAAAACACATAAATGACGTCGCCAATATTTTCAAGTCCGTCCTATTTGTAAGTAAAACGAGGAAAATGCACTTAAGCATCCGTGGCGTTCTATTCTCACAAGCCACTGAATTTTTTGGTTGTCGAAAGCCACTAAATTTTACGCATTAGTATTACCAGGGCTGTTTTTTTTTTTTTTAAATTTTCCTTCATCTCTACTTTTTTATTGTTTATGATTTATCTTACTTATGAATTTGCGATTGTAGCAAAGTTCATAACATATATTTTAAGGCACTTTGACTGAATGTAATATGATGAACAATGAAGATGCGTAGTACTTCCTTCTGCTGGAAAAAGAGAGAGAATCTTTGTAGAAAGGATCGTGCAAAGGTCAACTCTTTCATTTAATGATGAATGTTTCTCATTGTTATATGAACGGAAGCATGGAAAAGATTTTAAATTAAAATTGCGATATTGTACTATTTACAAGTTGAAATATTAATTGGATTGGATCGATGTCAGATCTGTGTAACCTGCATGTCAAGAAAGATTTTTTATGTCAGTTCCGATTTTTCTAGGAAATGCGTAAAATCGACGAAGATCGCTGCAAAGTATTTCAAAAGAAAAATTTCTTTTCTTTTGCAAGTTGAGGAAACACTCCGTGAAAACCTATGTGATACACCTCTTAAATGTATAAATATGTCAGCTCTATGTAGATCGTGGCAAGTAATAGCAAATCACAGAATTACACACATACACACACACACATGGTTGATAATTGGAGCTCTGTGTAATTTGGCCATCATCTAATGCTAGTTTGACTGTCAACTTTAGAAATTTAGACACAATCATATGTAAAAAAAGAAAGTGCTTGCTCCCGAGTAACGCATTCGGCTTTTTCAATTGATTCTTTTGTCAACCCAATCAAATCTTGATGTGAATTACTATAATTTAATCTGAGAAAATGTGATGTTGATTTGATTAGAAATTTGATTTCTTGTCTCTTCTTTTGTGAATAATATGATTTTATTTATTGAAGCATAAATTTTAGTTTATTTTTACTATGTGAAACAAAATTGACGATAAAAAAAAAAACAAACCTTGTACAAATCTGAAACAATTCACGCTTCTTGTAATTTTAATCGGAATAAGAAAGATTAACGAAGAAATAGTAATATTATTGCTGTAATCCGAATTTGGTAGATAAGAGATGCGCAACATAAATAACAAGAAGGCTTTCCTCTTTCCGCGATCGGTTTTTGACTAATGTAGAGAGAGTTTATATATACAAAATAAGGCTAGAACTGATTCTTTAGAGGTTAAAAATATGTATTTTCTGAGTAATATTTTCTTGTTTGAACTTTCCTGTCAGCCCCACATTGTAATTTATCATTTTCGGAGAGGGTAGCGCACCTGACCACGCCGCAATTAATCATTTGACTTGATTGTTAATTTATTTTTGATAGGTTTTTCTGGCACGAGAGCGCGGTCTATAAAGTGAATGATTAACGGAGCGATTATACTGCCTTTGCACATTTTCTCGAACAGTCACTGTCAATCATTCTGCTGTATTCATGGATCACTGACCTGTGGTTGTTGCAGACAACTCTTATAAAATAAAACAGTTTCAACTTTTAATTATATAAAAAGAAGCGTAACTTTCAAAAAAGATATAAAATTTTTCATTTGGTTTGGCTAATGTCAGCACTTGCAGAGAAAAAACAAAGAAAAATAAATGAAATACATTTTTTGTACACTTATTAAATTTTAGAAGTTCATTCTGCCCAAAAAATACTCTTCGTCTCTATCATCAGTATAAATTTTCAACTTGCACGCATGGAGAAAAGCAACCGTGTATTTCTTAACTGAATGGTAAAAAAATAATCAGAAAAAACAGGAAAAAAAATAATTGGTGTAGAGATTATAGGATGATGTAATTACATACACGGATGTAAATTTCTTACCAATTTAGCTTTAAATGGGAGTGAATTTGATAATTATACAAGCTTCATCAATCACTAATGATATAATTGAACGATAATATACATACCATATTTTAAATACATACTTCTGTATAGCTCAAAGAATAATTAGTTGACTCCATATGGCGTAATAGGTGGATAGAGAATCAAAATTTATTAAGAATTGTGTAGTTTTCAGTGGCTAAAAAGTACGCGCAAAATTCGTTAAGGAAAATATTATACTTCTTGAACTCTGTTGGCTTCTTTTATTTCAATTTAATATTATTTGGAACAGAAAAAAGAAATGTTAAAAAAAATGAAAAAAAATATATTAATTTTTTTATTTATCAACAACTCACATCTTTGATTATAAGTTAATTGCAATGCAGCAGCAAATAAATAACCATTGGAATTTTCCCACTCAAAACGCGTTAGCCTATAGATACAAGAAATTACTATACATGTTTTTAATAATGAAATTTTACAATGGAAAAATGTGCATAGCATTTTAAAGAAACAAAATAAAAAAAAGAGGAAAGAGAAAAAAGAATGTTGTAGCTCTGTGTACCTCTCATATTCTATTTTTGTCAAAAAGCTGAAAAATAACCTTGTTCGTTTGGTTGATGTACAAAAAAAATCTAGAATGGCGGAATTAATTATTGTCTCCAAATTTCTGTTCTTATTGCTACTTGGAGGAGTACGAGTAAAATATAATGCCAGCTCTCTTAGAAAAATAAATTAACTGTGTTTTCTTTCTTTTACGTCTTCCCAATATATCGTATAACATTTTAATTATCATTATTATTTATTCTTCTTGGTCAATACAAAATAATTAAATGAATTGGAAAAAGAGAAGGAAGGATTCACAACTAGTTGATGTCTGCTATAACGTCCAAAATCAAAAGGGACTTGGTCGCCGCAGAGACTCGGCCGCCGTCTAAAATATAGACATCCGTATAATAAAGGTAATTTTAAATATTTTAATTTCAGATTTATATAAATTAAAATCCGTACAGAATTTTGTTGTAATACTTAACAAACAACATTTTAAATGTTACATTTATTTTGAAATTATAAAAACAGTATTTAAATTGTCAAATTTAATCAAAATGGAAACGAATAAGAAACATATGAAATTTTGGTAAAACGAAATTTTTTCAAAATTATTCGTTTAGAAAATAATTTGCAAGTTGAAAGTAAAAGATAATAATTTGAAATAATATTACTTTTTTAATATTTAAAAAATTTATAAAAAAAATTATTTCATAATTAGATTCAGCATGTTTAATTAAACATTAAATTTACAATATCACACTTGAATGACATTGCAATGTGTGTCCCCTGAAATTTCACAGTACAACCAACACCCCTGCGGAAACGCGAGACGGGAGAGTAAAATTTCAATGCTAGACAGGGCGCCGCCACGCCGACTTTGAGCGAGTCACACATTTTTTATCCATTGTGTGTTAGTGGAGCAAAAAGTGATCACACACAAAGGCCCTGCTATACAGGTTTTCTTCAGGCCGCTCTCTATCGCTAAACGCTCTCTCACATGTGGGGAAGGGACGGCCCATGAAAAGAATAAATTACACGGGGAGGGGAGAGGAGCAGAAAGATCAGCCGCGGCGGTTGTTGTTTTGCCGAATTCCTCAGTGCCTCTTACGTTGGCGAATAAATATAAAGTGGTCAACGCGCACTCCAGTCTTACGATTGAATTCGCGGATTCTTCGGCGGTGCACAGACCGCACAGTTCGCGGGATGCATTGACGTCAGCTGGACACAAAAGAAGCGCCCACCGGTAAGTCGTGTGAGAATATCAAATTCGGGAGGGAAAAGACCGTTGAAATTATTATCACGATGCGAAATGCGTGGGCAAGGCCGGGCCCGTGAAAATATACAAAAAGAATCAATGATTTTCACAGAAATTAATTGAAATATTGGAAACCCTTTTAGAGTTGCCGGCACAGATGATTTAATATTTATTTATTTTTACACAAAAAATTAAAATAATTTGTTTGTATGTAGTCAAATATTTAAGCTATTCTTAAAGATTCTTTGAAAATGTTTTACATTTTAACGCAGCAGAAATTTACAGTTTTATGCGCTGCGGAAAAAAATCTGAATAGAAACAGTAAACGCATGACGCGGCATATTAATATTTTTTTCTGGAGAGCTGCGGCATTTGTACCTAATCCGAAACCCCATGGCGTCGTGCTCCACCCTCCCACGCACACATCTTTTACTAAAACCTCCCTCTGTCTCCGACAGCATAAATGACGTCACAGCCGGCTAGAGAAGGAAAATCCGTCTGATAGCAGATAAAAACGTTCATTCAGAGAAGATGCAGCAAAACGGCGACTTTGACCGTCAGGAGGAGGACGAGGATCGCTACAGTCCCAGGGCTTCCGACGCCGGCGTGAGTACCAATTTTTGCTCTCGTTTGTATGGAAAATGCAAAACCACCCCTGCTTGCTAAATTTAATTAAATCCATATTATAATGCATATTTGGGCCTGCACGTGCGGCGCCTTTCGTCGGAATAATTTCTAAAGACCTGTGTCAATATTCAACAAGCTCTCCCACGGCACACGTTTTATCAGTGGTTGTGAGTCAGCAGGGGTGCACGTAGCGAGCAGGGGATGCTCTCGGAGGGGGTGGAAGCGAAACAACAAGTAGATCTGCCCCCTGGCGAGGTGAGGGCCAAGTTCAAGGCGCGAATCTGGCTGCCGGTCGGCGGCTGTCGGCGGGCGCGTGTTCAGTCTTGGGTTCCGCTCCACTTAGTCTGGTGGTCGGTCTTGCTTTTTGGAGCCGAAATGAAAGAACGGGTCGGAGGTCAGCAGCTGCCCAAAAAGGTTCTATTGAGTGCTTTGTTTGATTTTGCCACAAATTATAATGGCTATTAGATCAGGAAATTGAGACTCTGGTTTAGAGAAATTTTTAATTCAGTTGGAATTTTATTGCTATAAGTCAAAATTTATCCATTACTTAATTCGCTCTAATGTATTTTATAGTTGCAACAGAATTCTTGTGAACGTGAATCTTTTATCACTAACAAAATTTGTATTAGTTTTAATCTTGATTGTAATTTGCACAGCTTTAAAATCAAAGAAAACCAGATATAAAAATTAAATTTTTATCATTACTTGATGCCATATAAATTTATGTTATTTAATTTAATCTACAATTTTAAATAATATCAAAGTAAATATGTGTACATATTCGAATTAGAAAAAAATTGAAGTTTTACAAATTAAACTTATTAACAAATATCAGAATCAAAAAATGAAATTTATTGTGATTATCATTTTGTTTAGTAAATAAATTATTTCGATTTAAACAAAGCATAAATACAAATTTTATTTTTTGAAGCGTTTATAAATTTTGGTTGCATAGTTCTTTATTAAGATAAAATTGTATCAGTAAGTTTCTATAATTTCATCAAGTGATTTCATGCAACATAAATTGTTCAGTGATTTGAAAATAAAGTTTTATTATCAAACTACGTTGTCGTTGTCAGTTTGTGTCTTGAAAACTGTAAAAATTATTAAATATTAATTAAATTAAACCAGGGAGATAAATAACCAAAGGGCTTCTTGACGGATTTTTTCCCCAAATAAGTAGAGTTTTGCAAGTCCGTCATTCAGGCCGATTCAACATAACTCAATTTCTATGGAGAAAATCTTCTGTATATTGTTTTTGTTATTACTATTATTTTATTTTTTAAATCAATAACCATTTCATCATAATCAAATATAATTAAAGAATTTTAAATTATTACCAGACATTGTACTAACTCTTCAATTATATTTTAAAGCTGCCCTAAATTTGTTGTGTTAGTCTGTGCAGGGATCAGTTTTGGAAGATGACGACGGTGGTCCTTGCGGCTGGTGGACCATCAGACCGAGACTTCTACAGAAGTTCCGAACACCAAAATGGGCGCTGTTCTGGCTCTGTTGGGCTGGTGCTCTGCAAGGTAAGTTCCATAAAATCTTAATCCCTCCTCCTCCTGTAAAACAACCGCTATACATTGCACGTCCAGCAGCAAGACGTGACTACGGACGATAAATCTCACTTTGCCGTGCATGCAAACGGTGCAGCAGAGGCTCTGCGTAAATGTTTGAAAGCGCGCACCGACCACAGCACTAACTTTGATTACTTGACGGTGAAAATTGCACCTGTTCAACTGGTGTGCGTTTAATTGCGATGGCCACCACATGTTTTGAGAGCTAAATTGGGGGTACATAGAAGACAAAGGGTATTGCAAAATTAAAACAAACCACCATTTAATATTACAAGATAAAATAGCAAAATAAGTGATTGAAAATTGAAACGAAAATGTTAATCCAGTTCTAATAAAAGCTCTGAAATTTGTTTTATTATAAAATTTAAAATCAGGAGGCTAATAAGTGTTTTAGTTAAATTTTTAATGCTCTAGAATTGAACAATTAAATAAAATTGATTGCCTGAAGATTTTTGTAAAAATATAATCATATTTTCAAACAGAAAACTATTTCATCTTGTGTTGACTGCAGCCGTTTTTATAATTTACATCTTGCACTTGACTTGGTTTGAAAAATCAAGAAAATAGAGTTCTCAAATTTTAAATATAATGCATAATCTTAAGCTACTTTTGTGACACAAATTTTTATTTAATAATGCAAACTATTTTATTTTAATAAAACTATTTTTGATTCCAAATTACTAAACATAATGAGTCAACACCTGAAAATTTTGATTTTAATTACTATGCAATAAAATTTAAACATAAATTAATATATCCTTTCATAGCTAAAAATTTAAAACAAACAAAAATTATTCATGATTTACATAACATTCAAATTTAATTTTTAAATAGAGTGTTGTCATTATATAGTGTGTTAGTTATCTTGCACAGTTTCAATTATCTAGAATAATTATTCTTTAAAATAAAATACTCTCACTGTTATCATTTGAAGTTTACTTTTCATGTGCTTTCATGTTCTCAATTTGTAGTCCAGTGAATTTTTTTATTTGAAATGCTACAAATACACTCGGATTACCAAGTTAGTGAAGAGGCGAGATACAATCAGAGACCACTGAAGAGTTTGTGTATAGAGAGAGAGAGAGAGAGTGTGCGTCATTGAAATTTGTTTCAATGAGGGCTATGCCGGCGATGAATACAAATGGACCGGCGCGCGGGCTCATTCTTTGTGGCGTCTCAAGTGCAGCCGTAGCGCGGCAGACACTTTTGATTGTCACACAATTATCTCGCATAATGAATTACCCCGCGAGAAGAAGCGGCGGCGTCGCTCCACCATCTGAATAAACAGCTCACATAATATCTCAATGTATCTTTTCATTCAAGTATATGTGCCGAGCGCTGAATGAATGAGGTGCACGCTAGGTTTTTGCATAATTGCATAAATTAATTTTGTATGCGCAGTGTCTTCCCAGGATCGCGGGGTCGAGATTTGCTCGCCTGCACGTGGCTTGTAAATTGAAATTTTAAAAATTCACCACACTTTCTAGAGTTTTGTTTCACGCCCATAGTTGTTTTCCACCGCTAGAAGTTGGGAAAACTTTTATGGACCCTCTTTCTTCTCATGAATGAGGAAGAAGACAAAATTTTTCAATATTTAAGTTTGTTATTTGAGTCTACACGTCTAAAATATTAGTTAAAAAACCAATTCAAAACGGAAGAAAATTATGGGCACAGTTAAATAAAATCAAGAATTGCCTCTTGTGAAAAATATTCTTGGAAAAATTAACAATTATTGATGTAATATTTCTCCGTTTTGAAAAAGAGCATTTTAGCAGCTCACCCTATGTGGGATTTTTTTCAAGAACCGTAATCGGTGCCCTCAATCATTTTCAGAGAGACTCTTTTCCAGTTAGATAGCAAATCTCAAAACAAGCACGCTTTAATGGAATCACAAACGGAGCAGAGTGTCCTCTCCAGAAGTTCCAAACAAACAAAAGTCTCCACAGATACTTTTCCTTTTCCCTTTGCAAAGCAAACATTCAAGCACTTGAAATAAATCTGCATCAGACACGTCAAAAGGAATCGCGAAAAACGCACCGTCGACAAGCACATTGAAATGTTCATTCAAACAGTTTTATTTGCTCAAGCGGCGGCAATGAGTCAGTCATGATATTGGACTGACTGAAGGAGCGAGACACACACAAAAGGCCGCCGGGCTCGAATTGAAAAACGTCCCTGATTGTGATACACGAGCCTCTCGAGAGCCAACGCGCGCGATATTGGGCCGATCTTCGGCAACGACACGCGTTTCCCATCACAAGTTTCCATAGTAACGCCAGAGCTGGAGAGAGTATCGCAAGAGCCCGGCAAAATTCCGCACCCGCCACTTTGATATAATAATGCACCCTCTCATCTTATTGCTCTCAAAATTTCATCGACTTTTGCCGGCGTGAGGTGCGCAACTCAATTAAGCCACCCGATTTTTTCCTTCTCCGGCTCCCGGGGGCTGAAAAACATCCCCTTGTCGACAGCGAGAGGCTCCCTTGCTCTCTCAAACGTCGGTTTGATTTGGCGGCGAGCGGGCAACTGTTGCTGGAAAAGATGAGCTCGGTGCTTCATCGCCGCAATTCATGAATTTTAATCAACAAGTCATTTTCGTCAACCAAGATGCATTGCCTTTTTTGATTGGACGCGCTTTTCCGATTTTCCACTTCGGTTCTATAATTTTCTTGCAAAACTTTCCACAAGATTCTTTCTTACAGTTTTTTATTTAATAAATATTTATCAATGCGGCCTGCGGCTGTGAATAAATTTTTACATGAAATATATGAAGTACTAGGTTTTTTTTATCTGATGATGGAATTCTTTAAATTCAATTAATAATTCAGCCAAGCTTATACGGAGCAAGAACTGCTGCTAAATTCTGGCAAAATCCAATTACCAAAATCAACACACCAGTGTGCGTGCATGTGACAGAATCGCCGCGGCTACTCAATCTGTTAGGAGTGGCAAGCCGATGACAGCGAGGGGATGGGAAGTCTATTACGAGGCCATCAATCACACAATTAAATTTGAATAATAAAAGTGTCTCTCTCGACGGAGGACTCCTCATAAATAATCCCGAGCTCTCAATGCGCTCAGCGGCCGCCGAGACACGAAATAAAATAATGGGAGCAGACAAACGAAAATTGGGCTCAAGTGTGGCTCAGCCAGAATTAGAAGTCTGTATCTCTCCCCGCCGAGCCACGAGTCGAGCCGGAAAATAATGCAATCACGGCTGTGGGAAATCAGAGTCCCAGACCAATCATGCGGCGATCTTAACTGACACATTATATCCTGCCGGAAATTTATGCACTCTGTTTTACGCTGCCGGCAGGCAGGTAGATTGCGCACCCCTGCTTATCGCAACGCCGGGGGCTGCTGCGAGAACTCGTTGCCATGACGCAATTGTAATTTATTGCTCCCGCGAAATCACTCCCTCAACTGCAGATTAAAACTTAATTGCGCATCCGAGGTTCTTGGCAACATGAATCCATTTCATTTTGACAATTAGTAAAGTCAGTTGGTAGGATAATTTCTAAAATTTTCTGATTACAAATAATTGAAAAATTGTCAAATATTTTAAACCAATTATATAAGTGAGCGGGAAAAACTGTGTCAGTGTCTTAAATACTTCATAAATTTTACATTTTGTAGATTTATTTCTTTTAAATTCATATTTCATCGTATTCATCAAAGCCTTTCACATTTGACAGCAAAGCTTTAGTTGTTTTTGTTTGACATTATCAGTTTTTTAATTAAATTATTAGTTTAAAAAATATATCTGAATATAATAATATGAAACAATACTCTATATTTAATTTTTACAATTTTTAGTAAAATAATTATTTTTTCGATTTATAAATTTTTTAATGGAGATATTAATAACAATTATTGAGTTATTGCTTGATTGGTTTAAGCGTAAAATATATATGTATTAAAGCATTAAAAATTAAAATTTATGTCATGCTTGAAATGAAGAGCAATTTTAGAATCACTAGGTAAACACTAATTTAGTATGTGAGAATTGAGTCTCTTGTAATGTAAAATAACAAAATATGGTTAAAATGAGGTTACTAAATTAATTGAAAATCATTTATCAAGCAAAAGAAAGAATACGTTAGAAATTTATAATCTTTAACTTAATAAATTTAATTTGTAATATTATAATTGTCTGTTTTGGGAGAATCGTGTAAATAGATTTATCGTTAAATACAAGAATGGTCAAACACACAATTCAGAATCAAGATGATGCTCGTGATTTTCTCTTAGGCGGTAATTTCTGATCGCTTGAAAGTTGTGAGCAAGCTAATAAGTCCTATAATTAGGGCACACATAATAAGGCCTGCTCGCATTTAACTTTGATTTACGGCCAGACACTGAAGTGTGGCAGAATGAATGGAACGAATGTTTTCCGCCTTTCGCATTTGTTTATCCTTCATCAAATCGATATTTGAGGGCGTCGAGAGAGCGATGATATGTTGGGCACACGAGAGGAATATCATGTGCCCTGCTGCGCGGCTCCTCGTTATTTATTGTTCTGGGCAGAGCGCCGCGGTAGCCGGAGAGACAGAGAGAGCGGGTCAAATTATCAGCGGAATGATTTGTACGTGGTTGAAATGGAGATGGGACGTCAATGTCTCGCGAATTGAGAATCAAGCCTTTGCAATGATGGATGGCATTGATGAATCAATATTCATATGGACAGCATCATCATGTTTGCAGTTTGCACTTGAGCTAAAACTATTTCATTGCCAAGTTTATTTGTGGTTTTTATCACACATTTTATTTATACAAAAATATTATTTTTCGCAGATTAGATAATTGAGGGGGGCAAAATTGCAAAAAAAACTTAATTATGCAAATTAAAATTACAAAATAAAAAGAAGGACTTTGAATTTCTTGGTACGAAATTATGAATATGTTCGTAAACTGACCTTCAAATTAAATAGCACTAAATTCGCCAATGAATTCATGTTTTCGCGACTAAAAATTATATTTATCTTTTAATTTAAATTAAATTTTATTGGCCTTTTAATTTATTCCATTATAAAGCAGGACAATAATAAAATTTCCCTAGGAGCGAGTTGCGTCATCTACTTTCAATAAAAATATTTAATTACACAACAAATTATTTTCAAAGTTAGCTGAAAGTGAGTTGAACTTCAACATCGGGTTTTGCCCACGTTTGTGTAAACGCTTTGTGCTAACATTTCACGGGATATTTGCAGAGAGTTCATATAAAATAAACAAACCTGCAAAACATGAGCACCTCTCGTCCCTTCCGAAAATAATTTCCGGACGGTTGGAGTTTGATCGATCAAAACGCGGTGCCAAAAACAGACTCTCTCGCTCCCGGGGTCCAATTATTCACCACACGAGGCAAACGCCGGTTTTGGGGTTGAAATTTAATAGACGTACACCTACCCTGTGTCACAAAATGCCAATCAAGTTTTGTTCTGTGTGTGTCGCAGGAATGGTGGTGAATGGCTTCATCAACGTGGTCATCACGACCATCGAGCGGCGCTTTGGCCTGCGGTCCAGAGAGACGGGGATGATCGCCGGTGGTTACGACGTGGCCAGCTTTCTGTGTCTCGTCCCGGTGTCTTACCTCGGCGGACGGCCTGGGGCTTCAAAACCGCGGTGGCTTGGATGGGGCATTGTTATCATGGGGATAGGGTAAGTGCACAAAACCCCAGTAGGGTATTTAATTTTCTATATTTAGAATATTTTGAAAAATATATTTTTTAATACTCTCTGAACAAAATTTATAAATTATATTGCTTAAGAAGCTTTTCTTTACAACAATTTTATTTCACTCAATATAATTATTTCTTTTATTTCTTCAAAATTTATAGTTACTCTGGAAAATCCACTTGAAACTTGTCTTATGAAAAATATTATAATTTTCATTTTTTGTTTTGTTATCGAATTTGATTTTTTTTTTTGAGAATTGTTTTTAAGAAAAGAATACAAATTTTATTTAAAAATATCACGATTGAATTGCTATTAACTAGTGATATAAACTTTTTTCCAATTATCTACAATAAATTTGAAATTAAATTTCAGCTCCTTCATTTTTGGTCTTCCACACTTTGTCGCCGGCCCATTGAGAGAGCTCGGAACGGAGAAAATAGGCACCTGCTTCCTACCAGACCCACTTGGAAATTCAAGTTTAAGGTATGCCAAAATTTAAACGGCAAATATAATTCGAGGAAATTTATGCGCAAGTTCTTTTGTTCAGTGGATCGGACGAGTGCGACGCGGACTCTGGCGAAAAGTCGTTTGGCCAGTCGGGCTTCTACGTGAAAGCATTCTGGTTCTTCTTCATTGGGCAGCTGCTGCACGGTGCAGGTGCGTCGCCCCTCTACACCCTCGGGGTCACTTACATAGATGAGAACGTCTCCAAGAAGATGTCGTCCGTTTATATTGGTAGCAATTCCATCTCTTGCCGCGCGCTGAATCAACTCACTTGAATTGGTTTTTAGGCATTTTCTACACCATGGCGATTCTTGGCCCGGCAATTGGGTTTGTTTTAGGCGGCCAGTTGCTCAGCATCTACACAGACGTTTTTACTGCTGACCCTTCCGAGTAAGAATTTGATTACTTTTGCGTCTCAGATATTTGATTGAACCAACTTTTCCAATTCAGACTGGGACTCACGCCAGACAGCAATTTGTGGATTGGAGCCTGGTGGATTGGTTTTGTGACCTCGGCAGCAGTCTGTGCTCTTCTTGCCATTCCTCTTCTTGCTTTTCCAGCTGAGCTCCCAGGTAAAACTAAATCAAAAGAGTTTAATTAAGTAGTAAAAGATAATAATTTTAAATTAATTTGATAAAATTTGTTAACGAAGTTATTGAAATTTTGATATTAAATATATTTAATTATCAAATAATAAAGTAAATTAAATAATTTAAATATCAGTTTTAAACAATTTATTATTATTTATAGCTAAGAAAATATAATACTAAAGCATGAAGAGAAATTTTACAATCAATCTTTTTTTGTCAACTTTCATCTGTGTGCTGGGGCATTACTGGAATCATAACATGCAAACGCTATTGATTTATAGGCGCCAAAGCAATAAAAGCAGAGAGGGTGTCTGAGGCGCATCACACAAGCGACAGCAAAGAGGAAATGAGCAGCAAAATAAAGGAGCTGCCGAGGAACCTGGCTTCCCTACTTTCCAACCCAACGTTCTTCTTCCTCAATTTAGCAGGATCAACCGAGGGTCTTTTGATCGCAGGATTTGCTGCGTTTCTTCCCAAACTGATCGAAAGCCAATTCAGTGTCAATGCTAGTCTGGCCGCACTTCTCATGGGTAAAAAATAGTTAAATGTGATTTGCATTTTATTAAACCTTTGAACTTATTAGGTGCAGTGACAGTTCCTGCTGGTGGTGGCGGCACCTTTTTAGGAGGGTATCTGGTCAAAAAACTAAATTTGTCATGTGCCGGGATCATCAAACTCTGCATGACTACAGCCTCAATTGCTGCTTGTTTCACCCTGACCTTTTTCTTGCACTGTCCAAATGTGTCAATGGCAGGAATCACTGTTGGTTACGAAAATATCAGGTGTGTGATTTTAACAAAAAAAAGTTATAAAAACATTAAAAAAGCCTTACGATTTTATAAATTTATTTAATAAAAATAATGGTTTTAATTTTGTAGCTCTCCCAATATGTCTCTCTATGCACCTTGTAATGAGGATTGCCACTGTTCACCAAATGTGTTCGACCCAGTTTGTGGCGCTGACAAGATTCTTTACTATTCCCCCTGTTTTGCTGGCTGCTCGAATGAGTCCAGGCTTGGAGATGTCAAGGTAAATGTGCAGCCAATATCCGGCACTACTCTTTTTACTAACTTGATGCAATTATGTGAAGGTTTACTCAGACTGCAAGTGCATCCCACAGAACTTCACTGACAATGGAGCAGTGGAGGCGACCAACCAGATGTGCCCGTCCTCATGCTCGCTCTTAATTCCCTTCATTTGTCTCGCCTTTCTGGTCATGCTGTGCACTTTTATGGGGACAACCCCTGCACTTACAGCCACGCTAAGGTCCTTAAATTTATACACAAACTTAATTTAATTTTGTAAATCTGTAATTGGAGATAACGGCGTAGTTTTAATTAATTGTTTAATTTGTAGATGTGTTCAAGACAGTCAGCGTTCATTTGCTCTGGGCATTCAGTGGATAAAAGTTAGACTTTTAGGCACGGCTCCAGCACCATTGCTCTTTGGAATCTTCATCGACCAAAGTTGCATTCTTTGGGAATCTGCTTCTTGTGGCACAGAAAGAGGCTCTTGCAGATTGTACAACAATTATCTAATGAGCAGGTTAGTTTTTTTGTCAATAGAGAGGAAGTAAAAAAAAAAAAAAAAAAAAAAAAAATAAGGGGAAAAAATATAAAAAAATCCGAAAAAATCTTACAGAATTTAAAATTGAGTGAAGTTCTTTTTTATTCGGTATTTAAAATTTAATTTAATTTTTATTCTTAGGTACATGGCAATATTGGCAATGATTTTCAAAATGTGCTCAGTTATCTTCTACACTTCTGCCTGGTGGTTCTACAAACCACCTCCACCTAAGGAGAGGGAGCCAGAGCCTGAAAATGAAATGCAACCTGCGTCTACAGAAATCAGTTTAGTGCAGAGTCCATCTGTGGAGGCTGTTCCGAACAACGGTGAAGTGACTGCTAGGACGGAGGACAGTGTTTAGAGACTGGTCGAGGAGATTATTAGTGTTTTTATAGATGTCACCTTGCATTCCAATTGCGTCACAGGCGGACGCATTATTTAAAGCTGTTACACTCAAGCTGTATCCTTCTTTATCTCTTCTGTACGTAATTACTATTGTATGGAGGCTCACTTTTCTATATGTATTTATATTTTAGAATATTAAATCTTTAAATGTTTCAAAGCAAGATCATTAATTTATTAGTCGTCTACTATGCGCTCATATTGTAGTACGTTTTCACTCCTTGCAGGATGAATAATAGACTGATTATTATTTTACACCTCTCCGATTTTTATAACATATACTTTTACAAACGACACGACCAGTATTCATATACAAAAAAATATGGATGTATTTTTTGTGTAATAAAAAAAAATACTGTAGCTTTACAACTGCGTAGAAAGTTGCTTATCATTTAATAACTTCCTGCTTAATCATCATCTGGTGGACAAACTTTTTACAGCACTCCAAATTCAATCTCCGCCTGCTGGTGTGGTTGGGTGTTAATGTATGCGCAGTAAAAAGTGGCATGAAAACAGCTAATTTTACAGTGGAGTGAGAGAAGAGCAGTCGTATATAAAAAGGCAGAATCAAATAAAGCAGCCTAAATGTTTAATTGCGTCGCATGCTGTGCCGCAGCGCGCGCGAACTCATTGAATTAACCATTTTTCAATTGCGGCCCTTTCAGCGTGCACCATTAAAAGAATTCTGTTGAGAGCGCTTTTCACATGATTTGCTCGCGTTGCTGAATAATTAAAAAAGAGCTGCATTTTTCCCCCAGTTGGCCAGTTTCCGCCGTCGACATGCAGTGTTATTTGTGGGTGCCGTGTGCCGCATCTCCATTTAATTACGCGCTGACGATTAATATTAATGATCGTGCGCGCGAATAGGACCCATACATATATAGTCGGTGGTGCTCCCAGCGGTGAACGTCAGATTTTTGTCCCACCGCCAGCAAACACACGTGCGCATGTCCTTTGCTGTGGAGTGTTGGCGAAACGGTGCTCATTCAATATCCAATATAAAAATGCAGCCGTACAAGAGATTTTACTATTATATTTTAATTTAAATTTCATATAATATCAGATTTTTTACGATTTATCATGCAATGAAGGAATAGGAGCGCAACACCGCCAGTTCTAAGAAAATTTTATAAATTGTTTTATTTTGTCACTTGGCCTCGCTCATTGGGATCAGCCCAAAATGTTCATGAATTATGGCTGCAGCTAGCAACCAAAACGTGTATACCAGGTGTATGAAAAGCAAAATTGTTTTTTCTTAGAACACAGTAGATGATTCTGATCTTGAGATGGTTGTTCGCTCGCACGGTTTTAAAATTACCCGCTTATAAGCTAATAATAAATGATTATAATTTTATTTAAATAATATGATTCAATTTTATTCATGATTTTTAGTTGTGTGCCAATGATAATAAAAACCTTAGTGACTTAAAGATTTTATATAAAATAAACTGCAACCTATAAAAATTAAATCATTAGAAAAATCCGTTGTCAAGTTTTCATGCAATTAATAGAAATTTTTTTTAGTAATTTTATTAAAATAAATAAAATAAATATTAATTTTGTACACTGCATGATAATTAATTTTTTATTTGATTAAATTTATTTTAAGACTTTTTACGAATATTAATCATTTTTTAATGATATAATGTTTTCATGTTGTATTTAACTATCAAACATAACATAAGTGCAACACTCTTAACATCAATAATTTCAAATACTTATATAATTTTAATTTAATTATATACCCCAGAATTTAAACAATGAATATCAAGCTACTCAAATCAAGTAATTCTTTTGTGAAGTGAATATAGAGGTTCTTCTTATAGTAATTATTACACTATATAAAATTAAAAAAAAAATAATTATCAACCAATTATTGCACATTTGAATTGTAAGCCTAATAGTTTATTTTTAATAGAAAATTTTCAGCTATGTAAACTGAATCATCTATTATGTATTTATTAGTAAAAATAGCTCTTCTTTACACAGTGGTAGATAAGTCACGAGCGTTTGCGCGTCAGCCTGGTGCTCGTGGAGGGGTCTTTGGTCCACCATATCGCTCGGCCGAGCCAGCTGGGAGCTCAGCAACTCATGGAGCTGGCGGCGTCGACGGCACCAGCTCGCTGTTAGGAACAATAAGGATTGCACCGTGTTTACCCTAGATAACGTCGCCATGCTGAGCTGAGAGGCTGATTTATCTTTTATCTACCACGCGCACCGAGATCAGCCCACTCTGGACCAGCAACGCAGCAGCGACTTCAGATGGCAAATTGATGCTGCGCTGCCTCCCCGTCGTCACCCGGAAATCGTCACCCCCGTGTGTTTGCAACCCTCTCGTCGAAAAGTGGTGAGACAAAAATTTTAATTTCTGAATTTTTCTAATCGCCGGATTAAAATTAACCCCCTGGCGCCGGCCGGGGACGAACAACGAGCCATTGAGGCGCGTGCCGATTTATTTTTAAGTATCTAGGTGCTAAATGCTAATGCTCTACGAATATTGCGCATAAATTTAAACTGCTAAGCCGTGCCAAAGCACACACTTTGGTTGTACAATGCAGAGCGCAAAAAGTAAAACGGCACCAACGAGTGTGTGTGTCGTCGCCGTTGTTGTGATAGATGTGAACGTGTAGCTTGCAATTACGCACACAAGCGACCAGCAGCGAAATTGAATCGCAGGATGAGGTCTTTGTAACAATGATACTAATGGCAACGAGAGAGAAAACCATGGGGGAACCTGAACCTAGCACAACTCTATGTCGCGCTATTTGTGACATGGGAGAACTGATTGCGAAAATGACGCGAATGAAAGCCGTAAAAAACTAGGGAAATTTTTAGAGGAAATATGAAATATTCATGTGAACAAAAATGGAACAGGATAATATGGGAATATATAAAATTTGATGTGCATATTATTTCATCCAAATCATGGCCAAAAATTTGTCTTATTTAATTAACAAAAATTTTTATTTCCTCACAACAATCTTTTAAAATAAATAAAAAATCTCTAATTGGCCTTTGGTGTAAAATATTAACTTAGTAGTTGCGAGATAACTATAAAATATATTAGTTGCCCTCAATTCGAACACAATATTTTCTTGAAACTAAATTATGGAGAAAGAAAGTCAAGTCCTAATAAGTCAGCTTTCCTGATATTTAATTAAAAGGTAGAAAAACACTACATTCATATTAAAAATGATGAAATTCAAAATTTACCTTTTATTTTGAATTTTTTAAAGCTAAATTATCAAAATTAACAATTTGTTGCTAACTTTAAGAAAGAAAAACAAACTGAGATTTTTACGTTAATTATTATCTATCCTTTTACAAACTTTCACATTAAAAACTAATTTTATGATATAGATTGTGAAATTATCTCCATTACGTCACACAAAAGCTTCATTTTATTAACCTGCGAAATTATGGATTATTATAATTTTTTTATATTCAATCAACTCTAGATAGAGTTAAAAATGTTAAATGGGAAATAAAAATAAAGATTCAATTTCCAGATGATCCAGGAAAATAAAAAGATAAATAAATGATTTCCTCCACCGCAGCACCTACTGAAGTTCACCGCATTAGATGTCAGTTTAGTGCTATCTCGAGAACAAATCCAATGCACCACAGCGTTCCAAAACCATTATAGCCTTGAATTTCGGTGACCCCCTTTTTGCGGTAAGAAAGCTAAGCTGCCCTTTCTGATAATATCGCTCACCCTTATATTCTGTAAAGCGGTCTTTACATGTCTAGTCGTTGATTTGTTTTTGCCGTAATGCGCACTCACTCTGCTAAATGTGTGCGCCAAAAATAAATAAATAAAATGAAGAGAGCTCGCTCAATACACACTTTATAAGAGGGAGCTTTTACAAGTGCTTGAACTTGGGCCTCTTTCCGAACGGATCAATGGCAAGACCTGAATTACCGGCCATCGATCGAAACTCCTCTCGAATTAAAAGCATCCCGCCTTGTTGTTTTGAACGTGCACGCAATTGACATTAATTACAAGTTTGCGTAATTTCGGCATTAATCACCGGTCGCAAAATTCACCGCACACAAAATTGGAAAATTGCACGCAGCCGGACGCTGTTTGGTATCACTTGATATGCAAATTCGATGAGAGTTCAATGGTCGACCGTTAATCCCCTTTGATGCTCTAACTCTGACGACATACATATATAATAAACGTACATCCATAATATGATATTCAATATCCAGCGATCGCTCTTGATCAAATAATGAGCATCGGGAACGTGTTCAATCTTCTGTGAACCACCCGTTGGGCTTGATTATGCCTTTCATATGATTCATTTTTGTTTTTCAGTGCACAACGTATTGAATTATTGCTCTTGATTATCTAAAAAGTAGTAATGAGGAAAAAATTTAATTCATACACCTTTAAAAATATTATATTATTTTTAAGGATAAATTTCAAAGTAAAAAAGATTACAGGGGAGGTATTTCAAATTAATTTACAAATTTTATTGAGAAAGTTCAATCTTGTGTTCAATTTCATTGAAAATGAGATTTTTTTCTTCAATTATATTTTGTACCAGAAAGCGTCAAATTTCAACATAAATTTTTTTCACATATATCTCGATTCAGGCGACCATTATATTATTGCCAAAAAAAAAAAAAAATACAAAAATTTAGAATTATATATTTCTGTCTTTTTTATTTTCCACTCAATAATATAAAATAATATCTGTGAGAATTTAAAGTTTTGAATTAACATTTTTTTTTACGCAAAATTTTTGGGAGTTGAGAGTTTGAAAAGAAAAAAAATCAAAATAATTAAATGCAAGTTGAAATATAAGGATAAATTAAAAAATTTATATAAGTAGTCTGTTGTGTAAAACAAGGATCAATAACTCTGAAAAAAGGATGGCGTTGGAGAGCATACTTGAATAAATAAATATACAACTCTACCCGGCCCCCTTTGACAGCCTTTTATAACTCTGCTGTTGTCGAGTGTCGCTTTTACATTTAAATATGCCTAACATTATGCCACATTATTTCTCGTTTGGCCAAAAAGCTGCAACACAGTTGGCGTTGTTTGCCAAAACACGAGCCAAGCAGAAAAATCGGTCAGATTTCCTCCACTGCGACAGCGTGGGTATCACCTCTGGAGTGGCGTCGAGCGCCCTATGCTTGTACGTAAATGTAGCACTGACAGCGCGAGGAGTGAGTATTGATTAGGAAGTCGGCCCACTAAAAGGAACAGATGTGATGCGGAGGACGAGAGCGAGCGGCGGCGGCGGCACCACCGCACAAACAGGCTTCTCGCTTTTTCGCCGGTCCGCGCTGCTCGAAATCCCAAGAATTAACCTCGCTGGCTTTGTTCGTCTGCGAGATGATTTGCATAGCGAGTGTGTATCTGTGGCGCAACCGCAGCACAGAATAATATTTTTGTAATCCTCGCAGGAGACATTCGCGGTTGAAAATGCAAATTTTATGCGCTGCTGTTTTGCTGTGATGTAATTATATTGCTGCATTATTTTGCGCTGGCTTTGGCTACTTTTGGCAGGATTATTCTGCCCTTATTTTATAATCTCTATTGCCTCAAATTATTTCTTATTTTATTATTCATTAAAAAATGTAAGCGTTGCTCAGAGCAAAAAATTTAAATTTTTTAAATAGGTAACTAAATTTTACGAGTTTTTTGTTCAATGAGTACAAAAGTTTGCAAAATATTATGCATTTTTAATGATTAAATTTCCCTTTACGCTGCCAGCGTTGCAACCAAATCCTTATTTATGATACATTCTGCACTTTTCTGCAAAACAATTAGATAACAAAATATTCACAAGCGTCAATATGATCGGGATAACTTTTATAAAAATATGTTGAAGCCTATTTTAATAATTTTTTTTCTCATAACAAATAAAATCTTTTATTAACTAGATTGGAAATTATTTAAAGCACCTCACTCACCCAGCCCATAGATATATTTTTCTATACCATGTTAAAATTTTGATTATGGATATAATCTTATTCTTTGAGTTTGAAATTTTAATAATTTAAGAATAGAAAATCGTCAAAATATGTTATAAAATTTCAGGTATATTTAAATTTACCTTTCAGAGATTGAAATTTGACTTTGGTTAAGTGGCTCAGTTAATTTTTTAAACAGATATACATTTAAATATATATTTATGTTTATTAAATACTAACTGTATGTTTCTCACATGACCAATCTTCACTGCATTCATAGGTTAATTAAATTTTTCATTCAATCCCGTAGAAGACGTGTTTAATCTAAAAGATTACAACGTTTTTGAAAAAAAAACCTCCGTTGAACTGAAAAGAAAAATTTGACGGTATAAAATACAAAGTTGCGACATAACTTTTGATAATTCCCACAATTTCCACTAAAACTTGGAATATGCTAAACACATGCGGACACGCCGGCAAAATTATACTTTCACGCGCCAGTGTTGAAAGTTGGTTTTCAACGCTGTTACTTAAAATACCACCATGCGCAACATTAAACCAAAAAGCAGAGTTTTATCGGCGAAAAATGTACATATACGTAGAAGAATGTAGAACATGCAGAGAGCTGCTAGTAATAATAGAAAACCACGCGACCGAGCGACCGAGCGCGCGACGTCAAATGCAAAAAGCGTTTTATTTTCGCTGAGACCGTTGTCGGGACATTTTCTCTCGTGGCTCTCATTAAGGCGCGGCAAACAACCAGCGTTATTTGCAGGTTGAAAATGGCGTATTATGCACACATTTTGGCACAGCTTGAGTGTCGCTAATGGACCCCGGAGTGGAGCAAAATGAGGAGAAAAGAAAAGAAAAGAAAAAGCGCCGGCGTGTGTTCCTTGTTTTTATATTTTCCGAGCGGGTCGCATGCGGAGACCCTTTCTTTCTTTCTTTCTCCATTCTCTCTTGCACACACACACACCCTCCGCAGCACTCAATCGATTTAAATAAAGAACACAAACACACACAAACTATTAAGGTGGGCGACCTTGGGAGGACACACGAGGCACCTAAATAAAAATTGGCGTCTGTTTATTTCGCTCAATGCTCTCGGTGCGCTGCATGACGTGAAATGACATGCAGCCCCAATTTCTTTTGTGTGCTCTTGGGCCAATCAAGGGCAGTCTTGGGACGGTGCATGGCTGAGCTATTATACAACCCTCTCTGTACAGAAGTTGGATTGAGCTCACAATCGGTTTCAGCGGTGCTCTCTCCTTTTTCTTATTAAATAATTCAACTGTTTCATTTTTGTTTTCATTAATAAAAATGAATGATTCATAAAATATATAATTAATAAAATAAAGGACCACATCAATGATTTGCTAAAAATAGTACAATGACTAAATGACTGTAGATTTTTGC